AATTCCCAGCACGTGACTCAGTGAGACCTAGTTGTACCTTTATTGGCATGTTTTGTGTTGCTTGGTATTTATTCTTATGTTCTTTCATGTACATGTGTTCCGTCTTCCATTTTAAATTGTGAAATCCTGGGGGCAGGGCAGAGATTTGTTTTCTGGACCCCAAGTATTTGCAAATCAAAATTGGAACAGTTATTAACCAACACCACACTCCAAAGTATGTCACCAGTCTGGAACTATCTGTTCTGATCCTCAAGGAGACAGGTGGAGGTTGGTACTTGGGGGGCAGAATAAAGAGCAAACACCATCCCTGTCCCTTGAATGAGTTTTCATTGTCCTTGATGAACAAAACAGACATACAAGAAGCTATTGGAAGTGCGACCAGTTACCAAGATCATGATGACCAACAGTTGAAAGCAGTGGTTGGGAAAGATGTACTCAGATGCCTGTGGGGCTCTTCCCCCTACATTGTGACCCTAAATTTACCCTACACCTATTTTACAGATCTAGAACTTTGGGGATGAAGGGGACTTTTTGCCTTTACAACACTTGAATATAATAAGACCAATATTGCTTTCTTTTTTCCGTCCCTCTAGGATGTCAAAAGTACCCTGGAAAAGTAAGTGATTCTTGTATCTCTTTGTGAATTAGAGCTTGGCTGAGAGACTATGTACAGTAAAGAGACGGGGAGTTAGGGAACTCCCACTGCATGGGATGTGGGAGAAGGATCTTTGCATCCATGAAGCCAGTTAGAGCACCAGTCACCAGCAGTAGTAGCCTCACCTTTTCCCCTTGAGTGTCAGGACTTCCTTGGTAGGAAGAAGATATGAAGATAATGTAGAACCAGATTCACCTCCGCCTGTGGAGGGAATTATGTGCAAACAAGTTGAAAAGAGGAAAGGGGTTGGGTGAATGGGGAGATAGATCATCCATTTGCATGAAATACAGCAATACCTCCACAAAGTTCTGAGAATCATTCTTAAGGTAAGGAACTGTCCAGGGGACCAGGTGGCCCTCTGGCTGGCAACAGAAAGCAGTGAGTGAGTAATTGTCCTCAAGGAGTTGGGAGAAAGCAGGAGGATAGAGAAGCTTAGTTTCTCCCTAAAGATCCAATCTGATTACTTACTTTACTGGAGCGGCCCTGATGCTACCCTTTTTCCCCTCTCCCTACCCTTCTAGATGTGAGAAGGTGAGGACCATGGAGGTGGCTTCAGTATCCATAGAGCTGGAAAAGAACTTCAGCAATTTCCCCCGACAGTACTTTGCCCTAAGGAAGATCCTTAAACAGCTGATTGGTGAGTTGCTCCTAAAAGGAAACTAGCAGAGGGAATTGACAGGGAAATCATTAGGTCCTGCTTTATCTGGCTTTCCATTAGCCCATCTGTAACTTCTCATGTCCATCCACACCCACCCCTGTCCCTGGCTTTCAGGAAAGCTCACTCTGATTCATAGAACTCAGAGAAGCCTTAGGTATCATCTACCTTCGGCCTGCACTTTTCTAAATAGAGACCCAGAGAAGTTAAATAATTTGTGTATTATTTGAGAGTGAATGGAAGTGTTACTAATATTTTCTCAGGGAAAATAATCATAAACCAGGACTGTCCCTGGAAAATAGACACATGGCCCCCCTATCCCTAGACCATACGCTGTTCTGCTTTGTGTCCTTCTCAACTTTTTCCATTCTTTCTGGCCCTTGGGCAGGCCCTTTCTGCCCTGTCTTCTCCGCACAGCGAGATAGATGATGATGCCTGAGGGGAATGGAGAGAGGACCAGGCAAGAGTCTAAACAGCCAGCCCTTGCAAAGTGAAGAGATCATTATCTGTTTATTTTAGGGCCAGGGACAGAAGTGAAGCCATTGTGCCCTCCCCTCCCTCAGTGATACCCTGGATTGGGAAAGTTAACCAAACCGCAGTGTTCTGGGGACCTAAGGCAACAGGTTCTGTAAAGGCAGCCTGGAAGAGCAAGGCAGGGCGTTTAGCTATTCCCATCCTCATCTAGCTCCCCACTCTGGCTTCTCCCGCCAGCGGATGTGACCCTGGACCCCGAGACTGCTCATCCTAACCTAGTCTTATCGGAAGATCGGAAGAGCGTCAAGTTCGTAGAGACAAGACTCCGGGATCTTCCTGATACACCACGGCGCTTCACCTTCTATCCTTGCGTCCTGGCTACTGAGGGTTTCACCTCAGGTCGACACTACTGGGAAGTGGAGGTGGGCGACAAGACCCACTGGGCAGTGGGTGTGTGCCGGGACTCCGTGAGCCGGAAGGGCGAGCTGACTCCACTGCCTGAGACTGGCTACTGGCGGGTGCGGCTGTGGAACGGGGACAAATATGCAGCCACCACCACACCCTTCACCCCTTTGCACATCAAAGTGAAACCCAAGCGGGTGGGCATATTCCTAGACTATGAGGCTGGCACGCTGTCTTTTTACAACGTCACAGACCGCTCTCATATCTACACCTTCACTGATACTTTCACTGAGAAACTTTGGCCCCTATTCTACCCAGGCATCCGAGCTGGTCGGAAGAATGCTGCGCCACTTACCATCAGGCCCCCAACAGATTGGGAATGACAAAGAGGGGCCTGGGAATAATCAGGGTGAGGCAGGGTCAGAAGCTATGGGCCTTCCTTCCTGTGACCTGCTGGACCAACTTTGTGTCTGCCTGGTTCCAGTCCTGAACCGTCTGGAAGAAACACCTTGGTTTCTAGAACGGTTTGTGTGGAGGAGTAGGCAGGACCTAATGGCTGTGTCTCCTGTCTCGGTGGGGAGCTGCTTCCCAGGGGATGGTCTCCTCTGATGTCCATCAGGTTTCCTATTGCACAAGGAGGGGTTGGGAAGGAAGGGGAGCTTTTCCAGAAACAAAAAGTCTGTGGGAGGGTCTCACTTGCTCAAACTGGAGGAGGAAACAAATGCCTATACATCTGGTTAGGGCATTCCTTGACCCAGAATAGTCTTGTTTTTTGAGGGAGATTCAAGGGGTCTTGTACCTCTAGATTGAACAAAGATGAGTGACAGTTGCTCTTATGGGTCTAGAAGTTGAGGGGTTTTTCTGAGGGCAGAGACTGGGCATCGAGAAGGTTAGAGGTCAAGGAAGGGAGCTAGAGGAACAGATTCCTAGAGACATCAGGGGAGAAGGGTTTCTTTGGTTGCCATTATGAGTACGGTTGGCCAGAGGTAGGAATAGGGAAGAGAGGCATGAAGATAGGAGAACCCAGGCCCCTGCCTCAGCCTTCAGCAGAGCTGGCTTATCACCTGCCTCCTTAGAGTTGATTGTCTCCAAGAAGTCAGTCACCTTGCTCTCCCCAGCAGCAAGGTACCAGAGATTCTGCAAGAAATGTCTTCCCTTCGCAGCTTTCCCCATGGAACTTGGAAAGGAGAAGTCAGGTGTTAGAGGAAAAGAAAAATTTCTATCCAAAGCCCTGGCCTTAAAGAATGGTACTAAGTTGCTACTCCCAATTGTCAGCCTTGTTACCTGGCAAAGGTGTGTAAGCCAGAAAGGGAGTAAGGAAATAGTCTTCCTCACCCTCAAGACAGGGAAGTGGAGGGGGTGTATGTAGGGAAGGGCTAGAGAGGCAGCTTCCTTTTGCCTGTGTGCACTTGGCCTGGAACTAGCCTTTTGAGGAGCCAGTCCCTTGTTTGTTGCCACACTTCACCTTCTGCCATTTCCCCTATCAGAGAATATAAAGCATTTTAATGTTAGGCCAAAACAACCTGTAGGGTACATATGTTGTCAAAAAACGGTAAAGCGATGCATGCCAAACCAAATCAAAATGACTGGATTATCTGCTGCTTAGGTAATCAGGGGTCCGCAAAAGATTGGGATAAGAAACTGCATAAACCGTAGTTCCTTGAGGACATTTCAGTTCCTCCTGCCACCTCAACAGGACTTTGTCCAGACTCTCCTCTTACCTTTGTGCCTTGACTGTGGTTCTTTGTGGCAAGAAGCTCTGATGGGTAAACATAATATGGAACAAAGGATCCACTGAAGTGATCTCTGTTGTGTGGTAATTTGATAGCGGCCTTCGGTGATGTGTAACGATCACTGGGTATTAAAAATGCATATTTTGGGTACTCACCTTCAGTTACTGATAGGTCTGGGTCTTGGGCATCTACATTTTAAATCTAAACCTCTTGAGTCTAGGGACCATTATAAAACCCATCCTAGAGGAGGTCCCAACAATTTCTTCCTGGTGGAAGGCCTGGTTCTCTGCCAATCGTGATGGGTTTGAGGACAGGGACAGGCCTCAGCTTCTGACATGCTTCCCTCTTCTCCTTGACTCAGGATTCATTTATGTTCTGCCCCTCCAGTTCACATCCCTCTACTGCTGTCCTCAGAAACATGGTCACTAACTGGGAAGCAGAGGTAAATACAGGTGCCAAATGGAGCAAATGGGAGACACTGATCAGCGGGACAGAATGGGGGGCTATGTAGTTGGGGTGTCATGTAGTTTCAGGGGCAGAAGTAGAGGTTTCTGTGCTCTAGAACCTGCGATCAGGAATCTGAGGATCACTACTGTGTCCAGCACTGCAAAACAGGAAGTGTGGTTTTTTTTTTAGTAAGTGGAAGAGTGGAAGTAAGTTGTGCTTTCTGAGGGCTGGTATCCTCCTTTTCTCTCCCCCTGGTACCAGTACTTTTTATAGTGTGTAATCTCTTCCTTCTGTCTGTAGATCTTTCAGGCATGCACCCTTGGCTTCAGGAGAGTAGGGTGGAAGATCGAGCTGGATATAAATTCCACTAAACCATCCTTAACAACCTACCTGCATAAAGACAGCAGTCTTGTGTCTTGAAGATACTTTACCAGGTTAAGATCCTCTCCTGCTTCACTAGCTGCTCCATTCGCTAGTATAAACTAGAAGTCTATAAAGAGCCAAAACTCAAAGACCTCTGTCCTGGGGGTGGCGCCAGAGTAAGGCCTTCAAACGCGTCTGGGCCCAGGAACTACACTTCCCGGGAGGCTTTGCGTGGGCGCCGGGGCGGGGCCGCCCGAGGGGCGGGGCCTGAGGCCCTCCTAGCGGCGCGCATGGCGGGGCCGGTGAAGGACCGGGAGGCCTTCCAGAGGCTCAGCTTCCTGTACCAGGTGAGCCGCGTGGGGTGCGCAGGGGCGATCGCTGCGGCGGGGCCGCGCTGACTGCTCGCCGTCCCCAGGCCGCCCACTGCGTCCTTGCGCAGGACCCCGAGAACCAGGCGCTGGCGAGGTTCTACTGCCACACGGAGAGGACCATCGCGAAGCGGCTCGTCCTGCGGCGGTGAGGCGGCCCGACCGGGCGGGCGGGAGGGGAGAACGCGCGAGGGGGCGCGGGCGCCCGGACACCTTCCCTCTGCACCCCCAGAGACCCCTTGGTGAAGAGGACCCTCTGCCGCGGCTGCTCGTCCCTGCTCGTCCCGGGCCTGACCTGCACCCAGCGCCAGAGACGTGAGTGCTTCTGCCGAGAGGGCACCGGGGTTGGGGACCAGGGGGCGGCCAAGCGGCCCCGGCCTGGATTCACCTGGGCGGTGGCGAGGGATTTGCGCGAGCAGGCTTTTCTCCAGCTTTGCTAACTGCCCTCGCACAGACTAAGGTTGGAGCTTGACTGTTACGCCCTACTTGAGAAGGTGAGCAGGGGTGTTGCCTCTGCGCTCACCTAGACGCGTGTGATTTGTCCCTTGGAGGACAGGATTCCCTCACGCGCTCCATTCACCCCACTCACTCAACAGGGTTTTTTTAAGATGTGTCAAATCTTATGCTGGATTCACTTTTCCCGTGGAAATTATAGTCTTAGGGGACAGACTAAAGTAGAAATAACTAAAGGAGTGTCGGAAATGCTTTAAGGGTCTGGGGGAGTGGAATGCCGTGATACTTAATGCCAGCGGTGGTGAGGTTCATGTTAACTAAAGGCAGTAGGAGATGGAAATTCTAGGAATGTGTGAAGACTCAGAAACTTGGGCTGTCACAAGGAAATAAGAATTCAGGAGCCTGGAGTTTGAGGTAGGCAGGGGCAAGACTTGAAGCTGGAGAAGGAAACAACCGATCTTAAAAAGTCTTGTGAAGGAGTTTGGACTTTATCTCAAAGAGTGCCAAGAAACTGGCAAAATTGGCACAACGGAGGGGTGGTTAACGCCATCGAATTTGCTTCCATTGGGGAAGGGATCGAAGTCCTGCTGGAAAACAATGGAGACAAAGCTGAATGTAGAGACTGTTTTTTTCTTCCTAAAAGGAGAGCTTTTTTCCTGGCACTCTTTTTTTCCTGCACCTTCACTCCAGGCAGCAGGGGACAGCGCTGGACAGTGCAGACCTGCCTGACATGCCAGCGAAGCCAGCGGTTCCTTAACAATCCTGGACATGTGCTCTGGGGAGACCGTCCTGAGGCCCAGCTGGGAAACCAAGCAGGTGAGAGGTGGTAGAGGAGAATGGGGGATACCCCGAGTGGCTAGGGATGATGGTGGACGTAGCTGAAGCTGAGAGCATAGATGAGTTCTGGGTTGGTGTGAGAGATGCCAAAGCCTTCAGCTCTAATTCTGCTTGTCTACCCAGATCCCAGACCAGCACAGCCTCTGCCGAACACAGCCCCCCCCATTCCAGGCCACCTTCCTGAGGAGACAGTGCAGCCTCAAAGCTCTAATCACCAGTGATGAAGTCACCCTGTTTTCCAAATAAAGTTTAATTGTTTCTTCTTCAGTTTTTTGTTCTTCATCTTTACCATTCTCATCCTCCCATATTCAGGGAGATACTGATTACCATAAACCAGTGGGTCTCACTGGGCAGCTCCCATTTCCAGGACCCTGACTCAAATACTCTTCCATGCTTCTGTGGGACATTTCCTGCCTATGGTGGAAACTGCCTTAGGGCATTCCACCACATGGCAACTCTGGTTGTTGACTTAAGAGTCTGGGCCGATGCAACATAGGCTGTTTTTAAATGAGGAAAAGAAGTTGCGGGGAAGGGCTTCAGATCCACCAGACCCACTCAGAGTTCATCTTTCCCCAAGCTCAGTTTTCATCTATAATATTCTAATAAGGGAAATAATACAAACCTGAACTAATAAGGTCAAGGAAGCTAAAGAAAGGATGCTGGTGGACATCACATTCAAGTATGCTCTCTAGGTTAATCCTCAGAATTTTCTTGAGAATCAGTAAGCAATGAAAATCGTTTTCTTTGCTATCCCAAGAAAATTTAATGACAGAATTTCAGACCCACCTCATTGCTAGATACTAGTTATCAGTTTACCGCAAAAATATACAAAATCACTATGGAGGAACCTACATGGCACAGCAGACCTCTCCCGTCTCACCTGCTGCTCCCCTTAGCAGTGTATCTCAGTCTGCCTGTTCTACTTCCCACTCTCTGGTGAATCCTCTCACCACCTCCCACCCCACCACCCCCCACACATCTCTGGCTTATATATAGTCTTGTATGCATAAATAAATAAATCTTTAAAAATAATAATAAATAAATTCCTTCAAGCAGTCTTTATTTTAGTGAACTCTTTATTTCTGAAAGTGCCTGGTTCTGAGTCATTTAAGAATCAGTGGGGGTAAATTTCAGGGCAATATTTTAGGTTTTCAAAGGAAAATTACACAGAATGATAAGTCATCATATTAATAAACAGAAAAATCATATATAATAATCTCCATAAATGTAGAAAAAGCATTTGACAAACTATAACATTCATTCCTAGTGAGATCTCTCAGTGAATGAGAGATAAATGGAAACTTCCTCAAGCTCAAAAGAACATCTTTGAGGGTCTGCCGTTGCCCAAGGGGTTAAGCACAGCAGAGCACTGTGAAAATATCTGCAGCCTTTGCAGCATGAGTTCAATCCCCAGCCAGCCAGGGAGATACCCACATGGCAATAAGACCCACATTAGCAGACTTCTCCTGTCTTTCCTGCTGTTCCCCTCAGCAGTGTATTTCTGTAGATCCACCTGTTCTGCTCCCCACTCTGTCTCAGGTGAATCCTCTCACTGGCCTGTACTCCAGTTCTTTTATGCATAAATAAATAAATCTTAAAAAAATCTATGAGAAACCTACAATTAGCAGCATATTTGATAGTGAAAACTGAATGCTTTCCTCAAAAAGTCAGAAAAAGACAAATTGTCCACTCATACCACTTCTAGACTTAGCTAAACTAGCCAATGCAATTAGGCAATACAATTAAACAAGAAAAAGAAAAAAGGACATCCAGATTGGAAAGGAAGCAATAGAACTATATTTATTTGTAGGATGTGATCAACTATGTAGGAAATCTTAAAACATCTAAGAAGCTACAACTAAAGAGTGAGTTTAGCAAGAGTTTACGTATATAAAATCAGTATGAAAAAAACAATTGTATTTCTATATAATAGAAATTGTACTCCTATATACAATGGGAAATTAATATTCAAAACCAAGTACAATATCATCATGATAGAAAATATTTAGAGATAAATCTGACAGAAATTATTAAAGACCTAGCTACTGAAAGTTACAGTGAGACCCAAATAAATGGAGAGCTCCATGGTGCTGATTAGTCAGAAGACTCAATACCATTAAGCTGTCAGTGGGGGTAAATTTTTTTTTTTTTTTTTTTTCCTGGCAAAGCACATTTTATTGTGGCCCTGAGGTCTGGGCTCTTTCCTCAGGCAAACTGGAGAGTTGGGGTGAGAGTTTCCTGTGTTCAACCCCCAACACCTGCATCACGTTCAGACTCAGATGGAGGGGGTTTGGGGGGGTAGCACCCCCGAGGCTGGTGGTCACTCTGCAGGGTGGTCTCACTGGTTCTCATGATGGAGGCTCATCATTTCTTGGATCCCGGCTTTTTAGGTTTGGGTGTGATGTTGGCCTTTCTCATAGGGCTCTTGTCTTTAGGTCTCACTGCCTCGTCTTTTTCCATCCTTTTCTTGGCGAGGTTTGCCTGCTTCTGGGGCGCCAGCCTCTTGGTGTGTCTGACAGGGGCCTCCTCCTCCAGGACATCTGTGTCCTCCTCCTCCTCCTCTGCTTCCTCCTCCTCTTCCTCCTCCTCCTCCTCCCAGGACAGGTCTGAGGTGTCATAACTTTCCAGGCCACTGAGGAACACGGGTCCAGAGCCGGCCCGGAGCTGAAAGGTGGCTAGAGGGGAAAATTCCAGCCCTGTGGTGACGACCATGGGAAGCACTGAGGCCCTAAGCGAGGCAATGATGATGGGCTTGGTCTTCTTGTCCTCCTGACCTGCTGGGGGCAGGAGCTCCACGAGGTTCATCTCCTCTTTGGCTTTCTCCCCCAAGCAAATCATAGTCAGCAGCAGCTTACAGTCCTGCTCCCCGTCCTTCCGGGGCTTGAAGGTCCAACTTGGCTTCTCCTTGTTTAGCTCACAGCCCCAGAGCAAGGCTGTTGTCGCCTTTTCGAAGGTGCAGCTGAGATTCATGTCTCTGGGCAGCCGGGAGCGTCCCTACACCGAGGGTGCCCCTGTTGCCATGGGCTGCTCCGGGAGCTGCGTGCTTCTCTCTAAGGCTCCCTCACACCGGCCTCATCCCGCCTCGCCCTGTGTCTGAAGTTTTTTTTTTTTTTTTTTTTTTTTTACATAGCCAAATATGTTTTATTTTTTATAAGTGGAATACCAAAAACACAACCCAACTAGCTCCAGAACACATTCAGAATTTTTTTCAGTTTATTTAACCAAACTAAACAAAGTTATTAAAATGAATATTTGCACTAACAAAGAATATTATTCCATCAATCAAATTTGGTTTCACCATTTCTTATCTTTTCCTTGCTCCATCTTAAATTCTTCCTCTTTATATTGAATATATTCAGTATCTTTTTCTGGGTTTGGAATTGACTTCCCCTTTGGTAGCAAAAAACATTCAGCATTCAGAACTTGTTCAGCTGTCATTGAATTTCTACAACAGATCAAGCTACAGAGGAGGGATTTGATATTATCATCCAAATGACACTGATCCACTTTCGGGATTCCATCTTCATTTGTTTCAAATTTTTAAATTAAAAATTAAACAAATTTTTAAATTAAAAATTAAACAAGCTGTCAGTTCTGAAACATTTCTCTCTAGATTTAATGTAAATCCCAGTGGTCTTCTTTTTGACACTAAAGGTCATACATTCATTGCAAAATGAAACTTTGAAAAGAACAAATTGGAGGATTTAAAAAAATAGAGTTCAAGACTTACAAAGAGCTATAGTAGACAGTATAGTATTACTGTAAATATAAAGCAATAGATCAACAGAACAGAAGAGAAAAAGAGATCCACATATGTATGGATCTTTTTGACAAAGGTGAAAAGGCAATTCAGGGACCTCCCTGGTGGCGCAAGGGTTTAATGGCGCAATCTTAATTAAAATTAATAAAAAATTAATTAAAAATTAAAAAATTTAATGCGCCTTCATAGGCGCAATCTATGAAGTAATCCTCAGCCACTGTAGCTGCAGTTCGAGCCCTGCCAGGGAGCAACCCACACAGCACAGCAGACCTCTCCTGTCTTGCCCACTGCTCTCCTCAGCAGGGTATTTTAGTCAGTCTGCCTGTTCTGCTTCCCACTCTGTCTCTGGTGAATCCTCTCACCCCCCACACCTCTGGCCTATACCCCAGTTCTTGTATGCATAAATAAATAAATCTTTAAAAAAAAAAAAAACAGAAACTGACTGTTGCCAATGACAAAATGCAAACTCTTAATAGAAAACAGGGTTTTGGAAAACTTGTATCCAGAACTGTAATCCTAATAGTGTCCTAATACTTACATACTTTTCCAATGGGATATGTGATACTATAACAAATGTGTTTTTAAATATTTACCTTAAGTATGTCAACACTGGAAGATCTACAAACTTGGTGAACTGAGTGCATTACTTTGAAAACATCATGCATTAGTATAAGATTCATTCAAAATGCTTAAGGGTTTTAATGTAACAATTTAAAATGTCCAACCATAGGGTTTCCATTCCACACTGCAACTAAGCTAAAGAACTTAATTGTACAGTTTGTTTATTATCAAAGATGAACATTCACAATTATCTGAAAGGTTATTTATACCTTGTGTACAACTGTGAAGCTGGATTGTGTAGCTGGAATTTTTTCAAGGTCTTTAAAATAAATTAAATGCAGAAGCAGATAAGAAAATTCAGTAGTTTTCTGATGAGACAGAAGAAAATGACTTGCAAAGACAAAATATAAAAAGATGCACTCTTGTCACTATACTTTTTCTTTTGGAAAATAGTTCTCATAAAAATATTTTATTCCTTTTACTCAGCAATCAAAAAAGATAGGCTCATGCCATTTGCAGCAACATGGATGGAGCTGGAAGGGATCATGCTCAGTGAAATAAGCCAGAAAGAAAAAGGAAAATACCGGATGGTACCACGCATAGCAGGAATTTAAAAAATCAAAATAAGGGATCAGGAAAAAGACTAATTATAAAAAAGTAAAAATCAAAATCAACAGGCAACTATAAACCAGAGACACACAGTGGGGGCTGGGGGAGAAGGGAGTAGGATCAAAACAAGGTGGGTGGGAATTGTATGGAGACTATAACCAAGATGAAAATGCATACATTGTACAAAAATGAAAAATGATGTATATAAAATAATATATATATATACTATTCCTACTGACATGTAGGATTGTTAATATCATTCTAAACGAAGAGGTATTTTTGAACTTTCGATCTCTAGTATGGCAAAAATTGATAGCTATGATAGATATAACCCACAAAATTATCTTTAGGATCCTCATTCATCTGTGAGAGTGTATACAGATCATAAAAATAAAAATTTCGAGAATCGCTGATTAAACAGACCCTGGGACTCAGAGAGACGGTGTGAGAAAGGCCACTCAATGCAGGAGCAAAAAAACGCCAGAGCCAAGAGCCACCTGCAGGAGGGTCGGGACACAGTTCCAGCTCTCAGGCCTGGTTCTCAGGGCTTCTGGCCTCAGTCCAGTGAGTGACTGGGTGGGGAGCCAAGCAAAGGGAATATTCATCTCCACTTTGCCTTATCACAGGCTGTGCCAAGTCCTTCACCCTATACACACCCAGTTCTAATTCCAGGACACGACCGTTGGGATAAGTAAATCAGCGTCAGGGCGTTCCGGGTGCAAAGTCTGCACTAGGTTTTAGATTCTTCCCAGACCAGGAGGATCCGGGCTATGCCGCCCCCAACCTTCCTGCTGCTGCTGTCGGGGGCCCTGGTCCTGACTGAGACCTGGGCAGGTGAGTGCGAAGTTTGGAGGGAATGGCTTGGGCCAGGAGGAGCGAGAGGGCCGCCCCGCAGCACAGGACCCAGGAAGGGTCCCTCGACTGTCCTCTCCTCAACCTGCACCAAACCCCACACCGGCTGGTCACCTGGGGTATCCT